GATTTCCATATCATTTATAACTTCCCTTAATTACACTTGGAAGACTTGCCAGTAAAACTGGAAAATTGGCAGCCTATATCCATTATAGTAATTTTGCCGACCATGGCAAGCAGCTGGCTTTACTGGATTTTATTTCCCATCACTCACAATTAATCATCAGCTGGAGATGTCTGAAACTCCTCAAAATGTAGCAATACTGTGTGACATTCAGGCCTCCTTAAAATGCTAAAATCTGCTGAGTAAATGGGCCGAGTTCCCCTTCCAGCGAACTCATTTTGGTGCGAGGCAGGCTGCCGGTTAATGAGTGCCACTTCGATAATCGGATGCGAATGTGAACCCTGACCTCATGTCAAAGGAGAGGACGCAGCAAGCTGGATAAAAGATAGGGGATTCAGATCTGCAAACTTTACACCAATTAGACAGAGAGCGGGGAAATACATCAGTGCCCATTGGGTTTATCAGAAAGACTTGTGGGGCTTGTGACCATTTTGTAAGCCTAACATTGAAGACGTCCTGTCACAATCATTAAGTCTTTCTCAGATGACGCACAAAAGTCTGAGGAAAGTGTACCATATTCACAGAGATCCCGTGGTAGCAATGCCCTCGGGTGTGCGCTGTCTTTTTGTGTTTCGGAGTTTTAAAGAGACCTATCTGTAAGTGCAATTAGTCTTTATGGTCCTCCTTTAGGTGCAGTGAAAACGGCTCGGGGTTGCTGCTTCTCAGATTCTGCTTCCACCCTGTGTCGGGAGTTGCTTGGTCGGGAAATGACTGGAGACAGTTCCCTGTCCTGCATGTAACCTTTTGGTCAGAGGCAATAACAACCACCGTGCCGTCCCTGAGTTATTCAAACAGTGCTATGGGCTGTTCCCAAATTCACATCAGAATTGTTAGCAACAGCGAGATGTTAAGTACCCCCCTCTTCGATGATTTTTTTTTTCCCTTTGTTTTCTTTCTTTTTTCCTCTTCACTCTGTGGAGAGCAAAACTGAACAGCTACTTTGAACTGTGCATGCAGAAATATAAACTACTAACACACAGACTGCAGGTCTAACAGTTAATCACTCATTCATTTTGATATTCCAAGCAATGTAAAGGTAGACTTGTCTGTAGTGTTAACTCTGTGAGAAAGATACCTGAGTTTAATTTCTTTTAAGAAAAGGAGCCCTTTTATTTTACTTGGTTCCAATCAATCAGATTTTTTGTTTGATTTTATTTGCCTGTTTTGACAGAATTGGGTCAGCACTGAGACCCATCTAAATTGAAATGTGAAGATGGTGGTTTACATTGGTTTACCATCCACTGAAAGAAAGAAATTATACGATGAAAATGAAACATTAAAAATGGTCCAGTTAAATCCTTAAATAAGTTAGAAAGCAAGAACTTGTACACATCGCTGCAATTTTCATTTTCAGGCTAAATAACAGGCAAAAGGATATGTGCAATTATGGAATGAAAGAAATTGGACAATGCCCAAAGGACTGAAAAAGAGGAAAGAGAGATACAAGTGCCTAATTTTAGGATTTGTCGCTTTGCAACACAATGAGTGAAGCTGTAAAGGTTTAACATAAGAACAGTAATTAAACTTCCGTGCTTAAGTGACACTTTCACCAAGGTAATTTTCAACAAATTACACATCAGAAGTACTGACACAGCGTTTTCACACGTGGTACCTGCTGAAAGTGCCTCCTTCCTTCCAAATTAGTAAGACTAGATGTAAACTGGATACTTTGTCTGTGTATTTTGTTGGTTGGGGGGGGCTGTTTCCCTCCCAGACACCACTTCCTTTGTCATCAACCCAGCAGCTATTATATAAAACACAAAAACTTTATTTTTATGAAAGAGGGGGAACTGAGGAGAAATTCAGATTCATGGATGTTTCCATCCCACAACCACTATTACTTAGCGCTGTGCTTAAACAGAGACAATTCTGTACTTTTCCAGTACCTGTATTTCCAGAACTCTGTTTGGATAATCACTAACTGGTTCATTTGCACGCCAGCCACCTGATGAAGCCACATTGCAGCTGAATCTCACTGGGGCTCAAGAGAAGTTTTTTGTGCCCTTGAAATTAGGCCGCTCAATTCGCATCTACGCTCTTTAGCGTCTTAGTCTTCAGCAGCCTTTAGAGGCCCCGTGTTCTTGGCACCCCAGTAGCAGAGTTTAACCAGAGGGTGGGCAAATTTGTTTCTTAAACGTGCTAGGAAAAAAAACTCCACAAAAACAAACCTGCAACATTCTTGACCTTTTCTTTTTTTTTTTAACAGAAGTAGATATTCATAGCTTCTTATCCTCAGAAATGTCTGGAAAGTTCAGAGCAGATGGAAGAAAAGCCAAGCAGTGAGATAGGGAAAAGAAGAGGAAAAGAAGCAAGGAAGGAAAGAAAACTGCTGGGACAAGGCTACAGGCAGAGCAGCAGGTGTGGAGGGAAGGAGACAAAAGATGGGGAAGGAGTATAGAGGGGAAATAACTGGGGACAAAGAACAAGTCTTTGATACTATTCACCAATTTTGACACTGCTAATGACTTAAATACTCGCCTGAAGCTCAGGATGGAGTTTCTGCAGGTGAAGCGTTGGGTGTTGGTTGTTCTTTGTATCCGATTATGCACCATGTTCGCATAGCAAACGCTTTCCTTGTTTACCCCAAAAAGCCTGACGTATCGCTGTTGGCAGTCTGTTGGAGAGTATAAGCGCTTTTTAATGTAATGTCTTTTCTTCTGTCTTGCTCAGAATCCATAGGCAGACATCAATGCTTTTCAGTCATTGCTTGTGTATGCTTTGGGAAAAAAGCTTTATTTAAATTTACAGAATGTACTTTGTGCCATGTGCATTTGTTCTCTGGCTTCGCACCTATCTGTTAGCAGTGTATTCCTCCAAAGTGGTACATTTGCCCTTAAATATATATTAGTCATTTTACATATATTTAGAGAAATATATCCATATGTATATATGTATGTATATAAACAAACACCTTTTGAGGGCACTGGCACATAGAACGATGCATAACCAGATCTTTGCATGTCTCTACCCTCTGTAATGAAACTTTGACATCAGAGTCAAAGCATCCCAAATTTGCTGGGATTATGAGTGAATGGCAGGCCTGCAAAAGAGCCTAATGAAAAGGCTTGCAGTGGGCCCTCGGAGCCAGGCGTCCCAGAGGGGTGTACCTCCACGAGGTACTGAATACTGGCGTGTAAGGCCCAGCGCTCTGCCCTCTCCAGCTTAAATCGTCTTTGCGGGATGACAGGCTGATCGCTGGGTTACACGAGGGATAAATTCTGAATCCCGTGGGTTTCTCCTCGTGTATAGGCAGCCCCCTCAACCACTGTAAAGCCTCGAGCAGCTCTTGCCTCTGTGCAGAGTGGTCCAAGGTGTTGGAGGGAGGATCTGACAGGGAGGCACAGGTTGCCCAGCAGACCAGCCCAGTGGGTTACTGGTGCCTTTGAGCTCGGGCGTGCCTGTTAGCAGAGCGCAAACAAGCGGAAAGAGGAAGCTTGCATGTTTCCCTGGTAAGAGCTACCAGCTGTGGTGAAAATGATGGTTTTGCCTCCGTGATGCCTCCCTTGCAGATGAGAGATGGTGGTTCCTTGCAGGCGTGCTCCCTTCCGTCCGTCCGAAGTCAGCAGCTGCCACCCAGATGCTGCCATCTGCAGAGGTGTGACTTTGCTCAGCGTTAGCCCATTGAGTATTGCTGGAGCTTCCAGCCCATGCTCCCCCGGATGTGTGCCAAGAAACTTTTGGCTTCCGAATCAGGATTAGTATCTGCAGGATCTGGGCCAGGGAAGAAAAGCAAAGGCTCCCCAGCCAAAACTGCACAGATTAAACTTTGCTCTGGATTTAATGTTGAACTGTGATGGATGTGAAATGTGAACTGTAGAAGTTGGAGCTGAATGGACGGGATGGGAGAGGAGCCTTTCAGGTTTGTCTGGGGCGATAGTTTTAAGCAGGTGACTCCTTTTTCCCTGTGTACCTGCTAGTTTGTCAAAGCCAACCATGATTTGTGATGGTGGCTTGTGTCCTGACCGTGTAGCTGGCTGACTTGACTTGTGCCATGAAAGTCTTTTTAGCATTTAATGAAATAATCCCTTTATTTTCCAGAAGAATCGTACACACTTAGAGCATTTCAAATCCTCTGTCCTCATTTTGAACTGCTTTAATTTTACCAGGTTTCAGAAGGTCAAGAGATTTGTGTAATTGAAGCAATGAAAATGCAGAACAGTATGATTGCTGCTAAAACAGGCAAGGTAAGCTACCTTGGGTCACTTAAAACCATATGCAACTTGTCAAATAGGATAGAATTTAAAAAGGAAAAAAGGAGGATTCTGGTTGTTAAGGAATTAACTCTGATTGTTGTAAGTCTTTCGAAGCGAGGTGTCTTTAATTTTTAACATTTGCATCTGCTGTGAATGCTGTTAAGTAGTTCCAAGCCTTAGATAGCACAGCAGGAAATAGTTTTACTGGCTTCAGAAATTCATACAACTCTCTTTCTCCTAAATGATTTGTTGTCTATGATGTTACAATGCCAAGTTGAATTGAAAGGTGTTGCAGACCGTTTCTCCAAATTCCATCTTTCCAGAGAGCAACTGAAGAAGAGAGATCTCTTTGCCAGTTAATTAATTAATGTCAAACAATTTGACATTAAAAAACCACTCAGAACAAGGCATAGAAAGAAAGTGCTTTTGCAGGAAGATGAGAAAAGCAATTTTTTTATCATTATGGCTGTTAAACATGAAGCCTAGATCTGCAAATGCGTTAAGCTTTGCAAGGCTGTGCATTGTGGTATCTTGCTTCTGAGGGATCAGCGTTGAAGCTGCTGAGCTGGGACTCTCATGCAGTGCAGGATGTACCAAAACCAGCGCTCTGGTCGAGGAGCTGGTTAAGCTTGTATGACAAGGGCATCATGCCGTAAACCCCGTCTGGTCTGGAGACTGTCAGCCCCTACATCAGGGTCTCGGAGCATCCCTGTGCCAGATTATAATTCACAGTCCGAAACCATCATCTAGACGCGGGCCCCTGATCCATCCTTTTCACAGGGAGAGCAGAGTCACTGGTCAGAGTCCTTGCCAAAGATCTAGATTGTATATTCTTGTATTTCCTGGCATGTCTGAGCCCTTTTCTGCCTGGGGACAAGCCTCTCTCCCTGAAGCGCTGCCATTTTATTATTAAAAATAGCAAAACAAAACCCAGTGCACGATCCCTTGCCCAGGGGGAGGCAGCAAGGAGCCTGGCTCTCCAGGGCAGGGACGAGGTTAGCCACTGGCAAGATTTCCCGACATCTCAAGACGGGTCTCTATGCCAAGGACTGTTTGTGTGTTTACAAGAAGGGCTTATTTGGCACTGCAGTAGAATTGTCACTGAGGCTGGGACCCAGGGCTTGCCTCTTCCAGCGTGTCTAGTGCAAAATTGGGTCTTGAGGAAAAAAAATTGCAGAGAGAGCAAGGATGTACCTTCTGCTGTTGCTCTGACATTGCCTCTTTATTATTTTCTTTCATGCGTTAATTCCTGTATAATTTATTTTCTCACTTGATGATTTACTAGCATTTATTTTTTCATCTTTGCTTCTTTTAACACCTTATTGCTGCTTTTTGCATCCACTGATTTTAACTAGTGAGTATTTGTAATTAAAATGCCATTCCTTCTCCCACCCACCCCCTTTTATTTTTTTACTTTAACCTTCACCTTCCCTTTCTCACCAGTGTGTGCTGCAACCCATGGGCCTGTTCCTTAAAATCCTCCTTGCACTTCTCCCAATAATAAATGTCTCCCACTCGTTCTGTGCAGATGCCACGCAAACCCCTTATTAATCCTTCAGAGTGGGGCGTGAATGGTGCACAGGCCATTCAGTGGGCCTGATGTGCACCTTGCAGTGTCCCCTTGATGGTTCCATTTTAATAATTAGCAAATTGTTTGGTTCTTTAGAATTTCAAGAATTTGAAAAAGCAAAAAAGTTTGGGGCAGTATAAAAATGAAGCTGCTAAACAGAATTCAGCCCATTCCGCAGTGCAAAGTCACGGCTCTGAGTGCTAAAATAACTTGGGCCCTCCACAGGAATGGGATGTTTGGCACTGGCTGTTAGTCCACGTTTTGATGCTTTGAAAACTGTTTTGAAATTCATTCGTTTGTCTTCAGCTGGAAGACGTTCCCATTTTCATTCCTGGCTGAGTTTCTTTTCTGCATCAAACCCCATCTTCCTGTTTGTAATTGTGAGAAAAGTGGCTTTTTTTAATCTACTTTGAGTTTACTCCAGCTGCAGGTGGTTTAAAAATGAGGGAAAGATGGAGAGGAACTGGTGTGCCTCCTGTCTCCTACAGGACAGCTGGGCCTGGGTCAGAACGGGGAGCTGGCCCTGCTGCATGTCAAAAATCACTGGGGAGTTCGAAACACTAGTCAGCTACAACGTTTGCTGAACCTTGGCTTTGTAGGAAAAGAAAAGGAAGAAGCAGAATGTTTTTCATACTGCTTTCCTCTCTGAAAAGATTGAGACTCGGGAATGGGGGAGGCTGCCTAGCTATTGATTTGGAAATGAAGCCCCTTTTTGTACCACTCACGGTGTCTTTGCCCACGTACAGCGCTCGGTTTCATTTCTCCAGCAATGCTGTGAATATGCCTGTGCTGCGGAGCCAGAGATCCGCTTACAGCTCAGGTGGCTTTAGACTATCAAACCTGGACGTGGGCAATAGTGTAGCCATAGTAGCTTGGTGTTTCGGGTATGCTGCAGGGTTCCTTTAGGAGCCCAGGGTAACGTTTCGGATGACTAGACTGAGCTAACTGCTGAACAGTTTTGACCAAGGATTTGGGCGTGTCAGTGCGAGCCCTGAATTAATATTGCAAGCGAAGTCTTGATACACAGCTTCAAATATTTTCTGGAGCTCCATGTGCTGAAAGGGAATTCAAACATGTTACAGCCTTTTACAGAGGAAATGAGAGACTAGTATACGGTGTTTGCGTTTTAAAATTCAGGAATCTGCATGTGAGTACGTAATTCATCTACAGATGTGGCTGCATTTATTTGACAGTGGTAGCCCTTTGCCAAGTTCACTTACATTGAAGGATCCCCTTTCAGATTTGAATCAATCTATCCCAGCTGTCTGGGGATTGAGGCAAACGCACTTCATGGCTGCAGTCCCAAAATTCAGTTACACTTTACATCCGTAATGCAAGAAATACTGGAATAGTTCATGGAAATGTCCAAGCGTGAGTGTTGAAGGAGTCAGATTGTCCTCTAAAAGATTTAAAATTTTAGTAGTAAATGAACAGCAGTGCAAACAAGTGGAAGAAAGGTGCTTTTTAATAAAGTGCCACCTCCATCTGACGTTCAGGTCTTCAAGCACCTAAGTCATAAGAAAACCAGCTAATGGTAGGTGCCTGAATACCTTGATGGAGTTGGACACAGTTTGGTCAAGCGCTGGAGAGGTGGTGGAATCTCCATTCTCAGAGATACTCAAAACTCAGCTGGACTCTGAACACTGGTGGTCAAGCTGTCAGCCTTGAGGCCCTTCCAGCATACGTGCATCTGTGACCCCTGCGGTGGTCCTAATGCTGCGTGGTGGCCATTCGCCCTGTGAAACTCTAAATAAGCCATGTCAGCCGAACCATTTATTTAACCAGGCTATTGAGGAAGGTTTGAAATTCTTTCTGTTTCTGTACTGTAGGTGAAAGCTGTGCACTGCAAAGCTGGTGATACCGTTGGAGAAGGAGATCTTCTGGTGGAACTGGAATGAAAGGTTGCCTCCACACTGTTGAATTAGCTAAGCCTTTATTATTTTAATCCGTAAAGTAAGATTAAGGCAATTCAACACAGAAAATGGACCGTCCTATGCGCAAGATTTTACACAGTCATATTTATTGTATCAGTGGTTAAGACAGCAAACACAGATGTTAAGCCTTGGCAACAGATCCCAGATTTTTACTTCCAGAAAAACTTGTACATAACCTTTGTAATTCTTTGATTTTTCAGGATCAAATAAAATCAATAAAATACCATTTCTGCTTTAAAACAGGAAACGCCTCTTTTTTTTAAAAAAAGAAAACACAACAAAAGCCGGAATCCGATTCATCTTCTCCATGGTAATATCACTGGTTTGAGGGCCCAGCCAAATTGTACGGAGTGGTTGGTAAGAGTGAAAAATGAACCACTGAGTGGTTAACTGAGCAGTTTTGCTGTGCTCTGTGCAAGTGCTGAACAAGTACTGCTGATGGCTTAAATTCTGCTCGTATTTATTGTAGTATTTTGAAGCCTTTGTGTAGCCTAGGTTTAAATTACAGGTTAGATGTTTTATTTTGCTAGTGCAGACTTTCCCCATGTATTTTCATTTACAGTTCTAAGGGAATTTTCTTCTTTTATTCAGACTCCATACTCGAATCCCTGCATGCCCACCCCCCACCCCCACCCCCCGTCTTCTTCCTATTGATTGCTGGATGCAAGTTTTTACAGAAGGAGCTGGCACTGTCCTGAGTCCCCTTAGCCACCCCAAGGTCCTGCTAGAGGCATTTTCTGTCCCTCAGGCCAAGCCTCCTCCTGAACTGTTGCAGGAAAGGGAGATCTTACAGGAAAGGTGTCTGATCTTTTGTTGTGCAGAGGCTCTTACTAAAGACTGTGTGAAGAACTGGAACTGTTCATAATACAAGACTATATCCTGCTGGAAGAGCTGTGTATCCAGTGTGGGAAACCAGAGAGGGCCTGGAGAGGAGGAAGATTTTAAGAGACTTGAACAGAAGTGAGAGAGGTGGTAACTCGATCAGAACAGGTAAGATGATGTTTTTTGTTTTGTTTTGTTTTTTTTTTATCCTCCTCGCTCAGGAACTCCGTGCCACAGGATGGTGCAGATACCAGAAGTTTACTGGGTTCAGAATGTTAGTGTGCAGTTAACAGAGGCTCTTTCTTCCATTAATTGATGTGGCTCAGTCAGTCAGCAGCTGCAGCTCACTAGATGCAGTGATACCTCCGCAGTCCCTGTACCCTGTAACCATCATCTCTGTCCCTATGCTCTTGCTTAGGCCTCCCCTGCTGCCCCGGCTGGGCCAGGACACTGGGTTACTCCTGCCCTTGGTCTCACCTTCCACAGCTATTTTTTTCCACATACCTTTAAGTCACTGCTCCTGCTGTGCCTTGACCACTGCCTCGCAGAGGGGCCCGCTCTCATTTTCTTGCCTAAGATGTGCAGAGTCATGCTACTTTCCAGAAAAAAACCCCTCTGGCCAGAGGCTCCTGGGCCCTTTACTGGAAGGTGAAGGATGAAAAGAGTCTGTGACGGGGCTGGTGACTCATGTTCAACCAGAAAGGTTCACGATTCTGCTTGAAACTTCTGAAGAGGCGTTCTTCATGTTAGTGAGATGCTGCCAGCCACATCACACGGCTGAGGGAGAATAATGTAGTACAGGGATCTGCTTTGTTAATTGGTTTACAAAACCCGTGAAGATGAGGAAGGAGAGTGTTTGGGTAGTACCTGCCCTCCAGGAAAATTAATGCTTTTACAGTTGGAGAAACTGAGGCAGACACCCTGCAGATCTTCCTACAAATCTCCTTAATGTCATCTTGCCCCTTCCAAAAGGAGGACAGTTCAGTTTCTGCAGGTTGCCCTAAACAAAAACAAGTATTGTAAAGAGACACAAGTATTCTATTTCAGAATTGTTTTAATTGCTTAGTGCAGCAACACAAACTTTCTGTCTGTTTTTCTAAGTGAGGTGCAGCAGTGCCTGCTACTGATGACGTTTAGGCTGATTCCTTATGCTGGATCCCTGGGCTGATTCCCTACCCCAGAGCTCCTCCGGCCATCACAGGGGTACTGGCAGTGAAGCAAAAGTACAATATCGTTCTTAATAGTATCCTTAGTGCATTTAATTGTACTTTAGCTCACTGCGTGGCATACAGTCCCTGCTTACGTCCCTTTGGCAGCTTTGTACGCTCTACCAAACACTGCAGCTGAAGGAAAATATAAGGCACAGGAGCGTAACAACAGAAAGCCACGCTTCTCCCAGATTGTACAGAAACCAGCACAGTTGGTTGGGTCAGGGGACAATAGTCTTCTTCCCATTT